TATGACAGTATATTCTTACAGTATATTAGAGAGCAGGAATTAGGGCATGATCCTGCACCTATTAAAATAAATGAGAAAACTCCCACAGAAGTCCTTCATTGGATCCTTCATTGGATGTTTGCACTGCTGCCCCATCACAGTTTCAGTCTACGGCTGCTACCACGCACAGATTGGAATAGCAGGGGGACAGCAGAAGCATGGAGAAGAGGAGAGACACAACATGGGGATACGAACCCTCACAGTATCAATTGCAAGATGTCTCAGAGCGCAGCGACAGCAAACACAGCTCTAGCTGTGCTATTCTATTCAGCCAAGCAGCGAGTGACTTTGAAGCATGGCACACAAAGCGTTATTCTGATGAAGCAAGAGCAGTGTTGAATCCTGCGTGGCTAGGCTAGTGGGTGATTTTAGATTATCTTTGTGAATGATGACTCACTGGGCTGTCATTAGCATTAATACCTAGTGGGGTTCTGTCACACAGCTGTGCGAGGACTTCAATTCTGCCATGTCTTTGAGGGACAATCTTGTTCCTCACAAACATTTCCAGTTTCATTTGACTTAAAAACAGGAAACTTCAGTCTCTCTGGAAATACATTTTCTATACAATGTAGCTACTTTAGCACAAAGACTACAACTCATCAGACAACTACTGGACATTGTTGCACTACAAACTTCAGATTACAGCATTTTAGAAAACAAGCAACACAGAGACATAATCCCAAGTACAAGGTCAGGGAAAATTATACAGACTCAAGTGTTGATGCTTTCCTTTCGTTGTCCAAGAAGTAAGAAAATGTCAAAATCCTCCCCAGTTGTTGGAAGGTATCTCACTGTAAGCAAAAGCTTCAGTTATAGCTGCAATACACACAACACCGATGAATATGGAAAGTTCAACTGGGCATGTATTTTGTCAACTTTGTCAACTAGCATTTTAATGAACTTTTATTCCCTTAGAAATAAATCCACAGTGAAAATATGTGCATCTTAAAAACTATTTTGCATGTTAAATCTTATGTAACCCTCTCAATAATAAGATTCCAAGCTATTTTACCAGGTCTGCAAATAATCTCTTGTGAAATCCTGCCTAAGTATTCAAGTGGCATTGCCCATGCACTTCAAGCACTGAATATTCTGATAGATTCTATTGTGTAAATTGATCTTTATCACAAAAAAGATCCAACCATGTAGCAAAAATGGAAGTGCATTTGTGAAATTTTCTTCTGCTGTGGTTATAAAGGGTACTCAGCATCTCCACATACAAGGAGTATTCAAAGGCAAAGATGCAAGAAATTCAAACAGTATTTGCTTTGGCATGTTTGGGGAAGTAATTTAATCTTCTTACCATGCTTGTACTGTTTTGAGTAAAGTAAAGGCTGACCCTGCATCAACCCGTATGGCAAGCAGACGGGAACACACACCCTTTAAATGCCCACTGGGGAGCATAAAACGCAAACCCTGTTAAATACAAGCAGGGTCCCAAATCCTGCTACCATTAGCACATATGGTTAGTTCCTCCTCCCCCAGTGCCGGAGGAAAAATGGGGTGTGGTGTGGAAGTAGAGTAGATGAGGGTGAGCTTCCTCATCCTGGAGGCTAAGTATGGTGCACAGTGGGCATTCTATTTAAACTCTATTGGCCCTGCCCACTGGCAGGGGTAACAGGAGATGGGCACCTGAGTGAGTACTGCTGGCACTTGCTCTGGTGGCATCACTTTCTCTCACACATCTCCCCGCAAGACCTAGTTTTTACCCAACGCAGGTGGACATTCGCTCAGAATGTATCATTTGTTCTAAATGAGTGTTTAGCAACACAGGGGTCTCCTACTGTATCTGCTGCTCTTCCAGTCCCTTCACCTCTATCTCTACCTCAGATTAAAACTCTTCCTTCTCACTTTATGGCTCTACAGAGCTTTCCCCAGCTTACATCTCCACCTTTGCCTTCCCTTGCCCTTCTGCCTACACTTCCTCCTCTAATGCCACTAGTTTAGTTTTTAAATGCTATGTAGATTTAAACAAAATAGGAAAAAATAAATCCCAAATTCCATTTAAAAATAAAATCAATCAACATCTACTGCAGTAAACATGTTTCAGAGTGGTAGCCGTGTTAGTCTGTATCAGCAAAAAGAACGAGGAGAACTTGTGGCACCTTAGAGACTAACAAATTTATTTGAACATAAGCTTTCATGGGCTAAAACCCACTTCATTGGATGCATGCAGTGGAAAATACAGTAGGAAGATAGATATACACAGAGAACATGAAAAAATGGGTGTTGCCATACCCACTATAACAAGAGTGATCAGTTAAGGTGAGCTATTATCAGAAAGGCTCCTGCTGATAATAGCTCACCTTAACTGATCACTCTCGTTATAGTGGGTATGGCAACACCCATTTTTTCATGTTCTCTGTGTATATCTATCTTCCTACTGTATTTTCCACTGCATGCATCCAATGAAGTGGGTTTTAGCCCATAAAAGCATATGTTCAAATAAATTTGTTAGTCTCTAAGGTGCCACAAGTACTTCTCGTTCTTTTTGTAGTAAACATGTTTTTCTGGACTGCTACTCTCTGAGATTTCCAAAAAGTTTTCACATGCTGACAGCTTTATGAAATATGTGGCATGACTACAATGTTTCAGTAAATGAACAAACAAGCAGAAGCAGTGAGACACAATAGTGTTCAGTCTGCCGTAATGAAGATGCCTGAACTTTTGCACCACTCCTTCCTGTGGAAAATATACACAGCAACAAGTGCTTAGAAGGGTTTAGAAGTTGTCATACAAATAATTTACCATAAAGGGACTGTGTCTGGCCTAGTTCCTTAGCTGCCCAGAGACTCCCACCCAGCTTTACAAGAATACTGGGATATTGGAAAGGCAAAGATTTTGCCCTTTCGTGACCCCCAATCACCATTACATCTGGTCTTCTCTCTGCCATTTGAAAAAAAATCAACATCAAATATATATATTTTAAATCAGGAAGATTATATGTCTCCTTTCTTTAGAGAAATGTGAACAATTTCTACAGGCTTATCAGGACAGGACACACCTCTCTGTTGCTCCTCTTATTATCTCAAGATCACTGTCATGATTGCAACATTGTGAACATTCCACCTACCCCACCTGCAGCCCCAGTCTCACCAATGCACCTGAGGGCTAGAGAAACATTCCCAGAAGCCTCCATATCAGACAGCCATGAGCTTAAGCCCATCACAAACACCCCTTGGAGAGATGCACATCTTGCCTCCAGGGGGGGACCAGCAATCCATTCAGCAGAAAGGTCAGCCTACTGAGGAAGTACCAAGGAATGGCTATCGCAGCACCACAGTTGAAAGGACAACAAACTCTCCTCCCATCATCCATGACAACTAATAACAGCCATTCATTCTGTCCCCATGACTGCAATGTAAATGAAAACCATGTAAAGGCTCCTGCAGAGGCATGACTAGGCTCAGTGAGGCTAGTGATCCATCCTCAGACATAGTTTTTAAACTAAAAGATCATGCACAACTAGCCATTTAATAACAGCAGCCATGGATGTGCACCAATTTGGCCACTTCCTTAAGGGTCATCTTTGTCCTTTTATCTCCTGCAGCAGACTGGCCAGCTCCACTGTCTGTGCCAGCTATTGGCCTTTACCTCCTCAGCAACATCAGAGGGCCAATAGCTGGCATGAACAGCTCCCCCGCTACCTGTAGGCTGTGGTCCTTCTTCAGTTCCTCCGTGGGTGACTGATGTGTGGTCACCCACGTCTGGAGGCTATAGGGACTTTGGGTGACATTCACCCCAGTGCAGAAGCCCCACACAAGGACTAGGCATCAATTCAGCCCTCTTTTGAGGTATTAAGTGGGACATGATTGGTGTACAAGTCTATGCTGACCCCTGGCAGCAGGGTGAATTTCTCCCTTTCCCAAGCATGTTCAGAGGAGTCCCTCAGCATCTTTCTCAAGTGCCCAGTTACCATACTGACAGTCCAGAAACTGGGCACCATCCTGGGGAGGAACGATGCTGTGGAAAGCCTTATGAGAAATGTTCAATTGATGCTGACCAGAGATGAATCTCCCCTTTCCTCCTTCTCCAAGCACAGTAAACAGCTCAGGTGGCTGCAGAGCACTGGAGGTCCATAGGGCTCCCATATGACCTCACAGAACATGGTGATCGTAGCTGATAACAAGCCCTGATGGGTGAAAGCCTGCATACTCCAAGTGTAATGGAAACAAAGCATGGCTCAGCAGTTAGGGCACTGACTTGAGAGATCCAGGTTCAATTCCCTGCTCTACCACAGGCTTCCTGTGTGTTCTTGGACAAGTCATTTAGGCCCAGAGCCCCACGGATAGTTAGGCACCTAAATACCATTGGGGATCTGGGCCTTAATCTCTCCATGCCTCCATTTCCCCATATGTAAAATGGGGATAATAATACAACAGGGGTATTGCGAAGATCGGTACATTAATGTTCATAAGACACTTGGATATGGCAATAGGGACCATATAAGTTGCTTAGCTGGAACGTTTTCTCGAAATCCCTGGCTGACTATCCAAACCTCACAGACCCACCACATTTAAAGTTCTGGGTGCCTTAGAATTTCTTGTTTAAGATCCTGAGTGAGTACAGGAGAATATAAACAGTTTACAACTGAGCACAATCACCTGTTGCAACTGCCTGATAAAACTGTAATCTCAACATCATCTTCCAAATCCATTCACTTAAACCAAGTTATCAACAGAAAGTTCTTCCAGAACTGCCAGAGCCAGTTTCACTGTTGCCCTATGACTCCTTTGTACCCACCAAGCAGCCATATCAACTCCCCCAGCATAGGAGCCCCTTGGCATTATATGGAGAATAGGTCTGTCCTTCCGCACACAGCACCCAGTAGTTCTGTTCATTGTAGCAGGGGTACAAGGTAGGGTAGTCCTGAGGTACCCTGTCACAGGGTCTCTGCAGGCTTTCTCCCTCTTGAACCTGCGCCCTGTGTTTAGGCTGGTATAATAAAGAATCTTCCATGCCTTCTTGTGCTGGATCATCCAAGCGTCTGTATTTACAGTTTTCAGAATAGCAGCCGTGGTAGTCTGTATCTGCAAAAAGAAAAAGGAGTACTTGTGGCACCTTAGAGACTAACAAAATTTATTTGAGCGTAAGCTTTCGTGAGCTACAGCTCACTTCATCAGATGCATGCAGAAAATACAGTGGGGAGATTTTATATACTCAGAACGTGAAACAATGCGTGTTACCATACACATTGTAACAAGAGTGATCAGGTAAGGTGAGCTATTACCAGCGGGGGGGGGGGGGGGAGGGGACCTTTTGTAGTGATAATCAAGGTGGGCCATTTCCAGCAATTGACAAGAACGTGTGAGGAACAGTGGGGGGGGGGGGGGGGATAAACATGAGGAAATAGTTTTACTTTGTGTAATGACACATCTATTCCCAGTCTTTATTCAAGCCTAAGTTAAACTGTATCCAGTTTGCAAATTAATTCCAATTCCTGACAGCAGGAATGTCTGGCTATGTAGACTCCCTCCTCAGGCCCTACACTACCAACACTCCCAGCTATCTTCGAGACACCACTGACTTCCTGAGGAAACTACAAGCCATCGGTGATCTTCCTGAAAACACCATCCTGGCCACTATGGATGTACAAGCCCTCTACACCAACATTCCACACAAGATGGACTACAAGTCGTCAGGAACAGTATCCCCGATAATGTCACGGCAAACCTGGTGGCTGAACTTTGTGACTTTGTCCTCACCCATAACTATTTCACATTTGGGGAGAACGTACACCTTCAAATCAGTGGCACTACTATGGGTACCCGCATGGCCCCACAGTATGCCAACATTTTTATGGCTGATTTAGAACAACGCTTCCTCAGCTCTCGTCCCCTAATCTACTTGCGCTACATTGGGTCCAGCTGATGAAGATGTCATCATAGAAAAGAAGCCCCTGAGGAATTCCACCATGATTTCAACAATTTCCATCCCACCGTCAACCTCAGCCTTGGCCAGTCCACACAAGAGATCCACTTCCTGGACACTACGGTGCTAATAAGTGATGGTCACATAAACACCACCCTATACCGGAAACCTACTGACCGCTATGCTTACCTACATGCCTCCAGCTTTCATCCAGACTACACCACATGATCCATTGTCTACAGCCAAGCTCTACGATACAACCACATTTGCTCCAACCCCTCAGACAGAGGCAAACACCTACAAGATCACTATCAAGCATTCTTACAACTACAATACCCACCTGCTGAAGTGAAGAAACAGATTGACAGAGCCGGAAGAGTACCCAGAAGTTACCTACTACAGGACAGGCCCAACAAAGAAAATAACAGAACACCACTAGCCATCACCTTCAGCCCCCAACTAAAACCTCTCCAACGCATCATCAAGGATCTACAACCTATCCTGAAGGACAACCCATCACTCTCAGATCTTGGGAGACAGGCCAGTCCTTGCTTACAGACAGCCCCACAACCTGAAGCAAATACTCACCAGCAACCACACACCACACAACAAACACACTAACCCAAGAACCTACCCTTGCAACAAAGCCCGTTGCCAACTGTGCCCACATATCTATTCAGGGGACACCATCATAGGGCCTAATCACATCAGCCACACTATCAGAGGCTCATTCACCTGCACATCTACCAATGTGATATATGTCATCATGTGCCAGCAATGCCCCTCTGCCATGTACATTGGTCAAACTGGACAGTCTCTACATAAACGAATAAATGGACACAAATCAGATGTCAAGAATTATAACATTCAAAAACCAGTCGTTTTTGGTCACTCGATTACAGACCTAAAAGTAGCAATTCTTCAACAAAAAAACTTCAGAAACAGACTCTGATGAGAGACTGCTGAATTGGAATTAATTTGCAAACTGGATACAATTAACTTAGGCTTGAATAAAGACTGGGACTGGATGTGTCATTACACAAAGTAAAACTATTTCCCCCCCTACTGTTCTTGTCAGCTGCTGGAAATAGCCCACCTTGATTATCACTACAAAAGGTTTTCCCCCTGCTGGTAATAGCTCACCTTACCTGATCACTCTTGTTACAGTGTGTATGGTAACACCCATTGTTTCATGTTCTCTGTGTATATAAAATCTCCCCACTGTATTTTCCACTGCATGCATCCAATGAAGGGAGCTGTAGTGCCCAAAGGCTTATGCTCAAATAAATGTATTAGTCTCTAAGGTGCCACAAGTACTCCTTTTCTTTTTGTGTATTTACAGTGTTCGTGCAGTTCCCAGATCCCACAACAGCTAGTGCCCCACAGACCCTCCCCAGGATTTCCTGGCTTTTAAGGCATCCTTCTTTCATAAAGGAGATGATACTACCTTCCTGTCTCCTCCCAGGCTAGCATTCTCACTGAGGTTTGCCCAGGACTTTTATAGCCCTCTCATGCCTCAGCCCAGCTGTCAGTACTTAGCTCAGCATGTTCCTCTGAGTCAGCCCTCATTAGGGCTTGCAGCTGGGCTCCCTGCTAAATACCTGTGTCTCTACCCCTAGTCTCTTGGCCAGAGAGCAAGCTGCAGCCAGCATTTTGGCAGGGCCTTAAAGGGGTTTACCCCTGCCCTGCCACATACCCCCACAACCCCAATGGAGGTGGCATAAACTGCTGCCCTTGTGCTGGTACTAGGTCTGGGGCATGGATGAATTTCCCCCATAACAGGGAATTACTTGCCTGCGCCACCCAAACTCCTACTCTGCAGTGCAGCCATCTGCCCCCTCCCAAAGGAGAAATGCAATCCCTAGCATAGTGAGATCTGTATGTCTAGCAGTGTGCTTATGTAAGGCCTGATGGACAGTGAAAGTGTGCCAGATCCTGTAAGAGATGGCTTAAGGTTCTGTACCCTGTGTATATGGTTAGACTGTAAACTCTTCAAGGAAAGGGATCTAGTCTTTTTGTACAGTTTGTAAAGTACCACTCACAGTGCTTTAGAGGTAATATAGAGTACATAGCATAAACATATGGTGCTCATGCTTTACTCTTCTCTTTTAGTTTCAGAAGCTCCAGAAGCACATTCCGTTTCACAGGATGTTCTTGGCTTGAAATGTGGGAAGCAGGAGGAGGAGGCGGGGGATGATGACCCTAATGCACTTAGGGTATGAAAACATCCTTCCAGCAAAATGGGATTAGAGTTTCACATCTGTCCTTGAGATGTGTCTTGAACAGTGTGCCACTCCATTCCTCCCTATCAAAAAACAGTCCACTGGTTGTAGAACCTGAGGACAGCTTAGAAGCTAGGATTCCTATCAATGGCACTACTGCAGAGATGTTTTTGGTAGCATTTTCTCCAAACAAAAATTTCAGCACATAATTACAGTACTGCTGATTTGGAACACTGTAAAGGGAAAGAGGATATTAAGAGTACTGGCACATGCTTCCAGTGGCTAGTGGGAAAGCCATCTTATTAATTACGTAGGGCTTTAGTTTCTGCAGCTGTTCCTGAGGCCTCTCAAAGCAAACAATAATTTCAGTTAAATGAACCCACTTGTTTAAGCTTTGATTCAAACAAGTTGGGACAGAATGTTTGTGGTTCTGACAGCCTTCTACAGCATCTGCATCTAAATAGCTTGGGTATTTGGAAAGCCCCTGTGTAAGAAAGCCCCAGCTTTTGTGAAACCTGGTGTAGGAATGTTGGGGTCAGGGAAGCAGATGGTGGTAGGTGGTTGGGAGAATTCACTCAAGGCATGAAAAGCCAGGTTAGGTGATTCCATGTCAGCCAGAGCCCAACAGAGAACAGCTGATGAAAAGCTCTGGTGGCTTCATTTCTGAGGCTGTGTGTGTTTCTGTGACATGGAAAGCCTTTTCCCATGTTTCTTGCTCCCTATTCAGGAGATTCCATGTGTCTCATAGTGTCCTCAAAACCCACTTAAGGTGGTCTGAGGTCCATTTTGCTTTTTAATTAGTGTCCCAATGAACCAGATTTTCAATTTTTGAGAGACTAGCTTTACACACCTTGGGCATGATTTTAAAAAATGTGCACCAGTGGGTGCTCAGCCCTTCTAAAAGTAAAGTTGGTCATCCCAAAATGTAAGCACCCAAAATTACAGGTCATATTTTTAAAATGTTGGCCCTAACATGCAAAATGCTTTACCTTCTTGTTAACAAGTTACATGGCGAAAGCTTTCTGCATTCATTTGAGAATATACCTCAAATTGCTGACGTAGGACCAGATCCAAAGTGTGCTGACATGCACCAACTTCAATGGGCTTTGGATAAGACCCATAAGGCATGCTAATATAGGAAATATCAACTGACGTTTTCAATGCTACAATCGGCTCTTAAATCACGTGGAATAAGACTGTTTCAAACTACATTTGCAACTATCCTTTTGGCTCTTGCTATATGTAACTATGATTCCAGAATGACTTTCCCTTTTTAAATTGTGTATATTGAAGTGCTCAACACAATTTGTTCTCATGAAATTACCAAGAGAAATTAGACAACATCCACGGAGTACATAATTCATACTACAACTTGATTTTTTTCAATTTTCCCTGCTGATCTTTGGATTTTGATTGGGATAATTAAATCCTTGATATATGATCAACATCAGGTTTCTTAAGCAAACCAACTAAAAAAATTCTTCTGAAACATGTATCAGCAACATTAGGATATGTTCTGCAGTTGATACTATATTACCCAGTTAAATACATATCACATTTAAAAGCAATAAATTCCCTTGAAAAAGGGTTTATTGCTTTAGCTTTCTTTTCTAAGCTTGTAACTAAACTATGAATGATCTGATATTAGCTTTCCACTTAAAATCATTATAATAATTCAGAAAAATGCTACTTGTAGCGTTCGTTTACTTGACTTATTTTGATTATTTGCATTCTTCTTGGGATTTCTGGAGATCCTGCTGTAAAATAGGGTAATAATTCATCTAGTTTACATTGACAGTTAGTTGGGGAGAAGGAACAGAAAGGAGATGAGCTAGTTAAATAACTGCAACTTTGTCCCTCCCATTTGCACCTGATACCAGGTGCTACAGGATAGTTTTAGTACAGAAGATTAGGAAGCAGACAATCAGGATACTGTATTAGATTCTGTACTGTACATAAACAAAAAGAATGAATGGCTTACTCTTCTCTGAATCTGTGGACTGAGAACAGTGCACAGATGGAATCGTGAAGGCTACTGAAAAAACAATGAAAACAAACCAAAACCCTGCTAAGAAACTGTAGAGAAGCTGCTATACCCCGCCAAACTGAGCTTGCTTTGGGGAGCAGCATCCCATTGTTTGTACTGATGGTTCGTTCATTTTAAAAAATAACTACTATACAGATTGGTAAAGTGTGGGTGGGGGAAGAGATATGAAAATTTATACCCAGGAATGAGTGTAGGGGAAATGAAATCTCTTGGACTCTGGTGTTATACAGGACACTTGAATCCCCATCTTCCTCTGTTTAGGACTTTCATGAATAATTCCCCTCTCCCCTACTGTTCCCCTAGCCCACCACCTATGTGCACCCAAGATCTCCAATATAGAGATTCCGTTGTACACCATCATAGGACAAATTCGCTGACGTCCAGGGGAGGGCACAGGGCATTAATCCAACTCCAAGTAGTGTCTGTCTACTGGCAAAAAAAGGGTCCCTTGGGCAGTGCTGCCATTGGTAGTAACAGCAGAAGCAACGGTGAAGGCAGGTATCTGGTGGGTTTGGGCAGGTTTAGACAACACCTAAGCTCAGTCTATGCTACTACTGGTGGAGATACAGTGGGGGTGAATTGAGTATTCTAATTTTGCCACAGCATACATCTGTGTTAGATTTAGATCTTGTCTGAGAAGATTTTGGGATCTCTCCCACCATTACTTTAACTAGTGTACACAAAACCAGAAATCCAGCACTAAGTTAATGCCTGAAGAATATGCATTGAAAACCATCCCAAGAATACAGGTCCTTGGAAATGTCCTGGGAAGGCCTGGCACTGATGCATCAATAACATTTGCCCTGCAGTGCAAGCCAGCCTCACCACTACACCAGGTGCCCAAAGATGGGATCCTAGCTGAGCTTTTCAGCTCAATAAGCTTGCTAGAGATGTTCAGAATATGTCTCCTCATGCATCTCTCTGCCCCAGGCTGGTCCACAATCCCCGGCAGCCCCTTATGCCCTGGCCAACTTCCTCCCACTGGAACCACTGAGAAACTCAGCCCTTCGTAGCCCCAAACATCAGTCCCATGCCCATTCCATGACCCTATGCAACTCAGCTCCTAGTGACCCTGCACAGCGTCCCCTGCTCCCACCATGACCCCGCACAGTGCCCCCTGCCCCCGCAATGACCCCGCACAGCACCCCCTGCTGTGACCCCGCATAGTGCCCCCTGCCCCCACAATGACCCCGCACAGCACCCCCTGCCCCCGCAATGACCCCGCACAGCACCCCCTGCCCCCGCCATGACCCCGCACAGCGCCCCTGCCCCCACAATGACCCCCCACAGCGCCCCCTGCCCGTGACCGCGCCCCGCGCCCCGGTACCTCAGCCCGCACCTTGCTCGCAGGCCCCCTTGCGGCGCAGGCTGGGCCCGCGCTGGCCGCGGCGCTGGGCGCTGAGGGCGGCGGCGCGCAGGCGGCAGGCGCTGGGGTAGGTGACGTCGTCGCTGCCGCAGACGGGGTAGCGGCTCTTGCAGACGCACAGGGCGGGCGGCCCGGCGCGGCCCGGGCGGGGGGCGCACTCCAGCCCCGCGGCGCAGCGCGCGCCGGCCCCGCACGGCTCACCCTCGCCGCGCGCGCAACGCCAGCAGCAGCCGCAGGCGTCCCGCGCGCGGCCCAGCGCGCAGCCCCGCGCGGGCAGCGCCGGGCACAGCGCCGGCAGGCAGGGCCCGCAGGCGGCGCCCGAAGGCTCCTGGCCCGCGGCCGGGCGCGCCCCGAGCAGCAGCAGGCAGGCGCTGAGCAGCCGTAGCATGGCGCGGGACGGGACTGGAGCCGCCCGGCGGGGGCCGGCCTCGGACCGCACCACAAACCCCTCCCTCCGCCCGCCCCGGAGCCTGCGGACCCCCCCGCACCCGCACATGGACCGCTCCTCCCTCCCATAGCCCCACAGGGGGCCGCAGGCCCTGCCCCCACCCCCGCAGTGCCCGCGGGCACAGCCCCCCTGGGGAAATGCTAGTTCGTGTCGTGGGAGGCGGGCAGCGCGGTCCCTGCGGTGAGCCGAGCCCCAGGTACGGCTTCCCCCCAGCCGCGTCCCCACACGCCGCTTTTGCGTCTCAGCTGGTGAGGGAGACCCCAGGCGCGGGAGGTGATGGCTTTTCTCCGACCAACTTCTGCTGGTGAGCCAGACCCGCGCTGGAGCTACACCGAGCTCGTCTCCTACGGAGCTCGGCCTCTGTGTAACGCCAAGGCGTGTCTCTCTCACCAGCAGAAATTGGTCCAGTAAAAGATTATTAACTCCCTCACCTTGTCAGCCTAATGTCCTGGGACCCGCAACACTGCCATTGCATATAGCAGACAAGGAAGGCATTTACATTCATCACAACCCTGCTCAGCTGAATGAGGTAGCCTGACCCGCTCCCAGGGAAAGATCAGTGTGAGAGCATCACTCGCTGCCTCAGCGTGGGAACAGCACAGCAGCTGCGCATAACTCCGGGGTGGTCACCCGCTCTTCATTAAACTTCATTCCCTTCACAATAGAAGCCAGTGGGTGCTTTCCCAAGTGCTGTTAACCGCTGAAGAAACATTGAAAGAACATCTAAAAATTGGATCTAGAGTGTCTCTCCTTATTTCACCTTTTAAAATTAAAATTTTAAAATTAGTGGCAAGTTTTAAAATATGGTAACTGTAAAAGAGAAAAGATTCACTGCAAAATGGTGTCTTTGCTGTCTTCCACGTTCCATGTGTTTGGAGGTGGGTAGAGAGGAAACAAGGGCTTGTAATAAACAATGGGTTTCAGAGGAACAGCCCTGTTAGTCTGTATTCGCAAAAAGAAAAGGAGTACTTGTGGCACCTTAGAGACTAACCAATTTATTTGAGCATGAGCTTTCGTGAGCTACAGCTCACTTCATCAGATGTATACCGTGGAAACTGCAGCAGACTTTATATACACACAGAGAATATGAAACAATACCTCCTCCCACCCCACTGTCCTACTGGTAATAGCTTATCTAAAGTGATCAACAGGTGGGCCATTTCCAGCACAAATCCAGGTTTTCTCACCCTCCACCCCCCCACACAAATTCACTCTCCTGCTGGTGCTAGCCCATCTAAAGTGACAACTCTTTACATAATCAAGTCAGGCTATTTCCTGCATAGATCCAGGTTTTCTCACATCCCCCCCACCCCCATACACACACAAACTCACTCTCCTGCTGGTAATAGCTCATCTAAACTGACCACTCTCCAAGTTTAAATCCAAGTTAAACCAGAACATCGGGGGGGGGGGGGGGGTTAGGAAAAAACAAGAGGAAACAGGCTACCTTGCATAATGACTTAGCCACTCCCAGTCTCTATTTAAGCCTAAATTAATAGTATCCAATTTGCAAATGAATTCCAATTCAGCAGTTTCTCGCTGGAGTCTGGATTTGAAGTTTTTTTGTTTTAAGATAGCGACCTTCATGTCTGTGATTGCGTGACCAGAGAGATTGAAGTGTTCTCCGACTGGTTTATGAATGTTATAATTCTTGACATCTGATTTGTGTCCATTTATTCTTTTACGTAGAGACTGTCCAGTCTGACCAGTCAGACTCCAGCGAGAAACTGCTGAATTGGAATTCATTTGCAAATTGGATACTATTAATTTAGGCTTAAATAGAGACTGGGAGTGGCTAAGTCATTATGCAAGGTAGCCTGTTTCCTCTTGTTTTTTCCTAACCCCCCCCCCCCCCCCGATGTTCTGGTTTAACTTGGATTTAAACTTGGAGAGTGGTCAGTTTAGATGAGCTATTACCAGCAGGAGAGTGAGTTTGTGTGTGTATGGGGGTGGGGGGGGATGTGAGAAAACCTGGATCTATGCAGGAAATAGCCTGACTTGATTATGTAAAGTGTTGTCACTTTGGATGGGCTAGCACCAGCAGGAGAGTGAATTTGTGTGGGGGGGTGGAGGGTGAGAAAACCTGGATTTGTGCTGGAAATGGCCCACCTGTTGATCACTTTAGATAAGCTATTACCAGCAGGACAGTGGGGTGGGAGGAGGTATTGTTTCATATTCTCTGTGTGTATATAAAGTCTGCTGCAGTTTCCACGGTATGCATCTAATGAAGTGAGCTGTAGCTCACGAAAGCTCATGCTCAAATAAATTGGTTAGTCTCTAAGGTGCCACAAGTACTCCTTTTCTTTTTGTAATAAACAATGTTACTGAACTTTTTGAAAATTACCACATTCATATGCTGATAAAGAAGCACAGAGTCCAAATAAGTGTTCAGAGTCTCATGGAAGCACAGAAATGGAAAAGTCCTGTTCCTGGGGCCAGCACAAGATTGTTATCTACACTATATTTTCCAGTACATCCTCTAAGTCTAGTTTTAAATGTCTCAAGTAATGTGGCTTCTACCACTTCCCTTAAGAGACTATTCCAGTCTGGTAGCACTAACCATTTCAGGAAATTTCCCTGGTAACCAGGTTCTAAGCTTTCCTTACTTAATCTTATCATTTCTTTTAAATTGTTTTCATGTTGTTTTGTTTTTCCTGGCCCCTGAGTCCCATTCTGCAGCCAGTAGGAGCTGTGCCATTGATTTTAGTGGGTGTGGAATCAAGCACCACATGCATAGACATGAAAAGAAAAGAAGTACTTATGGCACCTTAGAGACTAACAAATCTCTAAGGTGCCACAAGTACTCCTTTTCTTTTTGTGAATACAGACTAACAGGCCTGCTACTCTGAAAATAGACATGAAAGGCATCATTAGCACTAGTTAATAGTCACTGCTGTCTATCTATGTCCCATCTCTGCAATACCTAACATGGCTTGGCTAAGCAGTTATGTTGTGTACTTCAGTTGTGCTGAATTGTGTCTGGGGGATTTATGATGGTCACAGAAGTTGCAACAAATTTTCATAGGTGATTTAAAATAGGATATGAAAAACATCTTAATTTACTCACCTGCCATCACTACATACTGAGAGACCATCCTTTGTGCATGGCTTTCATATGATTTTACTCATATAATCTGCTCTGCAATGAATATCTGTGCATGGTGTCAATGCAAATCATAAAAACATGTCCAGTTACAAAAAATTATGCTCTCTCACTTGAAAACGGAAACGTTTGGGGCTGAAAGTCTGTATGCTAAAGTTCATGTGTTGGGCAAACATAAAATATAGGTGGTGTGCCTTGTTTACCCACCAACTTCCCTCTGTACTTTCCTAACCTTCCTTAAAATAGATTTTCTTTTCTGTACAGCCTTTCAGTATTACGCACCAAACACTGAATATACATTTAAAAGTAATTCATCAGGTTTGTTCATCAGCCTATGTATTTTGTGTGTTCCCATGTGTATGTATTATATGTATAATATCTCTGGATTGGATTGTGTCTAGCTAGATTGACTCCTTGGAGCAGGGACCATAGCCCAGAACCTGAAAGGTATTTATGCACCGAACTCTGATTGATTTCAATGGGAGTTAGGCACTTACGTACCTTTGGGAATCTGAGCCCATATAATTTTCTATGCTTTTACAGTTGTCATAAATATAAAGGGAAGGGTAAACCCCTTTAAAATCCCTCCTGGCCAGAGGAAAAATCCTCTCACCTGTAAAGGTTAAGAAGCTAAAGGTAACCTTGCTGGCACCTGACCAAAATGACCAATGAGGAGACAAGATACTTTCAAAAGCTGGGAGGAGGGAGAGAAACAAAGGGTCTGTGTCTGTCTGTATGCATGCTGCTTTTGCCAGGGACAAAACAGGAATAGAGTCTTAGAACTTTTAGTAAGTAATCTAGCTAGGTATGTGTTAGATTATGATTTCTTTAAATGGCTGAGAAAAGAACTGTGCTGAATAGAATGACTATCCCTGTCTGTGTGTCTTTTTTGTAACTTAAGGTTTTGTCTAGAGGGATTCTCTATGTTTTGAATCTAATTACCCTGTAAGGTATCTACCATCCTGATTTTACAGAGGTGATTCCTTTACTTCTATTAAAAGTCTTCTTGTAAGAAAACTGAATGCTTTTTTGTTGTCCTAAGATCCAAGGGTTTGGGTCTGTGGTCACCTATGCAAATTGGTGAGGATTTTTACCAAACCTTCCCCAGGAAGTGGGGTGCAAGGGTTGGGAGGATTTTGGGGGGAAAGACATGTCCAAACTAAGTTTCCCAGTAAACCCAGTTAAAGTTTGGTGGTGGCAGTGGAAATTCCAAGGGCAAAGGGTAAAATTAATTTGTACCTTGGGGAAGTTTTAACCTAAGCTGGTGAAAGTAAGCTTAGGGGGTTTTCATGCAGGTCCCCACATCTGTACCCTAGAGTTCAGAGTGGGGGAGGAACCTTGACAACAGTGTTGAGCACATTCTTAGTGCTGATAGCTAGTCTTTGCTCACAAGGACCTGGGATGTGGTAAGTTTCCCAGACTCAACAATCTGACTGGGAATGGTGGATCTTCTCATGCATACTGCTGTTGACAGTGTGGGAGTTTCACAGCAAGGATCCTTGTGCAGTGTTTTTTCTCCTCTCCCTCTGACCCCTGGTCCCACTCGGAGAAATGCAGATGCAGAACAGGGAGCAGAGGCTGTCTATGGATAAATGATTAAGGAGTGGGACCTTTGGTATGAGAGCTCTCCTGCTGGTAGTGTAGGGAGAGGGTTAGGCTGGGAAAAGGAAGTGGGGAAAATGAAATGGAGAAAGAACAGAAATGGGTGTAGGAAGGAAGGAGAAGGTGGAAGTGGGGAGAGAAAGAAATGGGCAAAGAGAGTATGAGGAAAAATCAAGCAAACAACGAAACAACAGAGAACACTAAGAAAGACAGACCATAAGGCTCAGATCCTCAAAGGTGGTGTGCCTAAATCTCAGATTTCTACTTTCATTGAAAATCAGTTCACCTTAGGTGAAAGTGATCATGAAATGATGGAGCTCATGATTCTAAAGCAGGGATGGGC